ACAACGCACCGCTTTGCACTCTGACACTGTTATGGAAAAAAAAAACAGACTCTTAATCTTCTTCATGATTAAAGCTCCAACAATGGACTACATTTAGGGTAAAGGGGAGGATAAATACATTAGATTTTTGGCCAAAACTTTGAAGGGGAATTTAACTGAATTGCTGAAATGTAAACAGTCATTCAGAGTGGTTTCATATAAAATGATGCATTGTATACAAACCATTTTCTACAGTGGTGTTGTTTAGGAAACAGGGGTCACAATGTCCACTATACAAATATGGCCATTTTATTTACTATCCAAAACCACCAGAGAACCTACACCAGGTTTCTACACCTTTCTCTAGAATGAAGCATTTCACATCAAACCACTCTGAATAAGTCTGTTTAAGTTAACCATATAATTATGCAGAAACTTTGAAAAATCTGTGGAATTTCCCTTTAATAGTACCCAGGTGAAAAGTTAAAGGTGTGGTCACAAAATACCATCAGTATGTCAACCACTACAGGGCACTCTGCACTCTTACTCTACTATGGGAAAAAATGGGAAAAACTCTTCATCTTCATAATTAGAGCTCCAACAATCAAGGATTTAAAACAGTACAAGGAACGACAACGAAAAATAATAGTAAACACTATGTTGTGGAACATAATACGTAGCTGAAGTTAGTTTCTTTTTGCCTGTGTCTTTTTAAAATTTTCCATTCCAATTTCAATGGTGCTGCATTCTTGCGGCTGTGCGCTAAGGAACTGCTTTTTAATCATTTAAGGTGGAATAGAAAACACAAATAAGAAACTAGAGAATAAGTCAAATTTAGCCTTGTGGAAACAGGAACAAGATGACATTAAGCTGCTGGCTAAAACTAGTTTATGTTCTTTAATTTAAACAAAACTATTGATTTATTAATTAAAAAAATAATTATTATGAATTAAATTCTAAATTATGACTACAGTAATTTTTTTTTTCAGTACATCACTGAGTTTCCCAGTGAAGCTCGAGCTCCCTTCAATAGCCTCATCATGCAGAATGTGAAATTATGCTTATTCTGAAAGACGTGTTAAAATATTAATCAGTTATCACCATAGCACTATAGTCTGTAGCTATTTAAAAATGGGTAAACTACATTTAGGATAGTTTGATATCAGCTGTATTACTTTATCATCAGCTCTGGCACCGAGTCGCGAGTCGGAGTCCGGGGTCGTGCATCATTAGCGCCTGGGTCATTCTCATAAAACTGCCGCAAAACATGTCCTTAAACATTTAAAAGTCATAAACATCACACAGATAAAAATACTTATATAATTCTTATATAATAATACTTACATAATATATAGCTCTATATGGTAAATTTACAAGTTTGTGGAGTTTTTCTATTATAATTTTTTTTACCCTAATTCTCAGTACCACAACATGCCCACATATGTGTTTCTCATTACTGAATTTGGTCATTTCAATTAAAAACTTTAAATCAATTAAATCATTCCGGTTTATTTTTAATCAATCAATCAGGTATCACTGTTTATATATCCAATACAAAAGAAAACATTAAGACTCCATTTACACCTGGCCACATCATGTGTCTTGAGTATCAGGATTATATCTGCACATGGCCAAGCCACATTAAAAATGCAAGTGTAAACGCAACTAAGACGCATTTAAAACAGGTACAAATCCTATCACTTAAACCACTTCAGGAGGTGGTCTGAGATGCATTTGAGCCATAGCAGTGCAAACACATCCTCTCTAAAACGCATTTGACAAGTAAAACCTCCCATTAAAACGGAAACTCCCCCCCATGCAATACGTTACTGGGCACGTGATGCATGTCGACAAGGAAGATAATCATGGAGGACGCACATGGTTGTGGACCGGATGAAACAAAATGCTTTGTAGCAATATGGAACAGATACTACTGTGCAAAACAATCTGCAGACAACTTAACAAACAACTGCCAATTGGATGCCGGGTAGCGAGTGATTGGCACATTCCATCCCACACAGCAATCGAATTTCAGTTGGACTAACCTCATACTCCTGAAAAAAACTTGCTCCCATATATGTTGCCCCCCAAAATACATTAGCTTGCTAGCCCAATATAATTTTAAAGAAAAAAAAGAACAGAGCAGCAGCAATCATTAAAAGATGTAAATAAAATGTGAATAAACCATCTTAGGGTTATTAATATTTTAAAAGTACCTGACATACCTACATAGTGTTGTAAATGGAAAAAAACTGTGTGTATTTGTAATAGTTTTATCACTGTAAAAACGTGTGAAATAAATTGTGTTATTTTGTTATGTTTATGATTCAGGGTTTAGTGTATATGCCCACCAACCCTACCCCACCCCATCCTCAGCCCTAAAGCACATTTTAAATCTGTGGGAAATACTGCTCCTGTTAGTACAGTGCAGTACAGAATGGTGTAGTATGTTAAAAATATCCATACTGACTTACACTACTAAATTAGTATGCAGTATACACCTTGCAGTATCAATATTTAGTATATACACTGACGGCAGGGGTGAAATGTAAGATTCAGGAAACTTAGAGCAAGGGTTCCCAAACGCTGTCTCATCTGGCAAATCTGAATCAATTCATTAACTAATTTAACAAGTGCCTTGTGGTCTAGGTAAGGAGTGTTGAGTAGGACTGTGATGATACTTGAAAAGTATCACGCTTTACCACAAAACTAGGGTCATGTGATGTCTACCGCAGGGTTAAGCTCATTACCGTCATTATCGCATTTTTTTTTTTTTTGTATTTCATTTTTTTGCTTGTTGAAGTTACAGGAGTGTATATGGTGTGTGTTATGAAATATAAACTCAATAATCATTGTTTAGTTATCATTGACTGTTTTCCATCCTGTGTTCATGGGATTCTCAAGAAACAAAACATTTCAGTTGCTGGTCACTTCTGCTTCATGCAGGGGGAAGGATTTCTTTTGTGTGTGTAGTGACAGTTGGGGGTCTCTGAGGCCTTTGCAAGAGGAGCAAAGCACCAAGGGGCTGGGGGGCATTGGCAGTATACCGCCAAACTGTGGGGACACATTGCTTTTTGACTGCGGTAAGAAAAAAAACCCTACCGTCACAGCCTTAGTGCAAAGTAGGGCAAACACAAAAATGCACAGAACACAGGGTCACCATGATGGTAATTTTGAACCCCTGATTTAGAGAGGACTAAACCTAGTTGCTTAATGAGGATCATTTAGGCTTGAAGTGCCATCTTGTTGTCAGAAGCTTCTTTGCAACTACATTCACATTCTGCACCTGATTTATCAGACAATTCTACCTTCTAATACACATACATTCTTACGCTACCATTCAAAAGTTTAGAAACACTTTAGTTATTATAAAACCGATCTTTGTAGAAGAAAAGTGCATACAAAATGAGGAAATGTGTCCAGAATGACGACAATAGCTGTAGATGATTCTAAAATGACCAACAAAACTATGTAGCATCTAGAACGAAGTTAATAATTAAAGAGTGATGTTAATAAATTTAATATCCAGCAGGAAGTTACAGTAATATTTAAAATCAAGCTAAATCAAGTTAATAAAATGAACATCTTGCAAGAAGTTAATAGGTGAGGTCTGGTTTAGTTCATTGCTGGTGGGAATGCATTTTCACAATGGTCCATACCAAACAAGTGAATTCAACATCAAGGCATGTTTTTTTCTTCTTCTAGCAGCACATCAGCACTGTACTAGATGCATGAAATACCTATTTTAACATCTTGACTCTTGATAAACACATAGACTCTTATCATTCTACCAGCACAAGCTGCTGATACTAACAGCAAACGAGCAATAAATAACAGCGAAGCAATACATTTGATTTTGGCACATGGATCAAGGAATGTATTTTTGGCCATCAGTGACCTGACCTGACCTTAAATTGAAGTTGACAAACCAATCATAAAAAAGTAGGTAGCAGTAGGGTTTATTATTATTGTATTGATTATGATACACAGAGATGTTAAGGGACTCTATTTTCTTTTTTTTTCCTATTTTTTGGATGTCAAATGTGAGAGTAACAGAGCACTTTGATCAGTAACAGGGATACAACAAACACACATGTAATTATGTAATTTGGTGCCGTAAAACCAACCAATCCAAATGAAAAAAATACAATGTCAAAAAAGTCTGGTTTGTAACACATACACTGTACAATTAGTTTAAGCTTACATACCTTAGTATCATTGAAAAAGCTAAAATGTACTTTTATTCTCTAGTACTAACATTGGAAACTATATTATATTGTATTTTATACAATTATACTACAGAAAGCAACATATTTACATATAATTCCGCACATTCAACCTACAACAGTTTAACCCCGCCTATTCATGTGGAAGTTAAAAGAATTGTTTCAGCCAGGGCTGATTTTTGAATGAGGCACAATTAGGGATGTCCATAGGGGAAACTATACAGGCCAACAATTTGGTGAAATGCTGTTACGCTTTAACAGGGAAGTACATTGCAAGAGTTTTGTACTGAAGTGCATATATTATAGTTTGCTACAACAAAACATGAGTTCCTTAACATGAGCATTCTGCCAAATACCTGTTATTAAGGATGTGATTGAGAAGGCAGAGATAGCATCTGACTTCAACAATAACACTAGCTGGCATTAGCTAGGACCAAAGAATAAAAAGGCATTTTCCTGTTCTCAATGTTATCTCAACAAACTAGCATTATGAAAAAAACTTTGTGTGGAAGACATCGGGACATCACGATTAACAGTACAACTCAAAAATTAACGATAATCAGAATGCACAATACAGGGCAATCAATTAGAACAGAGATTATTTACATACATCAGTGTTACAAAAACAGTGATAAATGAATTTACTGATTTTTGGTATATAAAACCACACAAATCTCATATGTGGAAAATCCAAGAATAATGTAGCACATGGTCCCTTTAAAAGCCCAGCCTTACATTTTATGTGAGGTGTGTGTGTGTGTGTGTGTGTGTGTGTGTGTGTGTGTGTGTGCTTACCTGTGTGAATGCGGATGTGTCGAACAAGCTGGCTGGGTTTTTTAAACGTTTTTCCACAGTGATGGCATGTGTTGGTGAAGCCGCTCCGATCAACATTCTTCTTGTAGTTTCTCGAACTGGTCAAGATAGGTCTGAAATAATGAGATTAAAATTCAAATATTAAATTCAAATATACATCATGAACAATACTATAGCGTAGGAAATTATAAGAGATGGTCTATAACACTGTCTGATCATGACCGATAGTGGTGTATGTCCAGCACTACACTGCACTGGCTATTTTTAACATCATTTGTAATGTTACCTAATAATACATCATTTGTAATGTTACCTAATAATACTCTTAGAAAACAAGTAGGAAATAAACACATTTATGATGACAAATTAAATTATACCAAAAAAAAATATTATATATATATATATATATATATATATATATATATATATATATATATATATATTACTCTTAATGTAAGTCAATGGAACCAGAGTTTTTTCCAAGTCAATTTGGGCCATTTCTTTTAGTCCATTCATCATGAAATTTACACACATTGTAAAGGGTAGCAGGTATTTTCAAATTGTGTCAAAAACGTCAGATATGGAGATATGAGGATTTCTTCCAACAACAGCGATATATATATATACACACACACACACACACATATGTATATATATATATATATATATAGATTCCACAACTTTGCGCTGGCCAAATTTGACCAGGGCACCCAAACTCTTGCATACGACTGCATACACACACGACAATATTGTATTAATGTGGCAAGTTATTAAAAAAATAGTGTTGTGCAAAAGTCTTTGTTACACTGCTAGGCAATCATAGCCTACATTGCTGTGCAGAGTAGTTCACTATTATTTTTAATGATAAATTAAGAAATGAATGCATATATCCAAATATCTGAGGAATTTGATCTCTAGTCTTTTGATCACATAAAACTACTTAACAAAACAATACTAAATTTAAATGTGAATAAAAGCACACAACAAAAAAAGAATCTATAGAGCATTATTAAATGTTTATCTAAAATGGAACTATACCAAATTTCATCACTTTAGACAAATAACAACAAGACATTTTCCTTATTAAACTGCAATGGTGATTTGACAGAAATAGGTTAAATTATGTTTTGGTGTATTGGTGTAATTTATCATAATATATTTTGTCATCACAGTATTGTGTTAGCATAAATGCATTAAGCCAGTCAAGTCATTACAGGGTTTTACAGTGATTTTACCATGGTTAAACATGGCTTATTGCTTTATTTCAATGCAACTAAAAAAATACACACATCTCTGAACCAATGTATCTGTATCTGAATGTTCACTGTATCTGAAGACACACACCTGATCCTGATGTGAGTTTTCATGTGTTCCTTCAGCAAAGCGGCTGAGGTGAACTCTTTGCTGCAGGTCCTGCAGGTGTACACCTTAGTTCCGGAAAGCTCTTTACGATGTTCCTCCAGGTGCAGGGAGAGCTGGCTCTGAAGGATAAACTCATCTCCACACTCCGAACACAGAAAGTTCTGAAAATCACAGCAGAACCAGAGACGGAGGGAAAAGATGGAAAAAGAGCAGATAGAAAAAAGGTTAAAAGAATTTAAAAAGTGAAAAATGTAATTCACATAATATGTCCACAATCGTATATATATAAAAATGTGTTATGGTAGTTTTAAAATAATATTTTGGTCAAATTTATTAATCCATTAATGGCAGAGAGGATTGTTGTAAGACAAAACGGTATACATAGAAAGCATATATTTTCAGAAAGATTACTATTTTACCATCAAAATATATTAAAAAAAAAATTAGAAAACACATGTAGTTTCACTGGACATACTGGATAGTAAATAAAAATCACCATATTTAGACATTAGACTGTATAAATTGCGACCCCTGGTTCCTATCTCCAAAAGAAATTCAAGTCTGTAAGTTTCTCTACAATTAACCATTTTACAAGAAACTATTCAGGGTGAATTATGCAAAAATGAAAAACAAAAACAAGTGGAATTCCCCTTCATGCCTAAAACTTGACTAAATAAGACTCTGAAGCTGACTGGCCAACTGCACGCTGAATCTGTTACACAGGAAAGTTCCTGACCTCCTCTTTCTCATGCACCATGATGTGGGACTTCAGGCTGGCCACTCTGGAGAATTTTTTATCACACACAGGACAGGTGGGGTCAGATGTGTTGTGGGTGGATTTATGGAGCCGGAGGTTAAACTCCACGTTAAAGGACTGAGGGCAGAGGTCACAACGATGAGGCTAAAAACAAAAACATAGGATTAGAAAACAGAGAAAATGATAATCAAGCATTTTAATGACCATTAAATTAACTGTTAATTATTATTTTGAAATTGGCTGCTGAAATATTGATGCTGAAGAAGGTTTGAAAATGCAAACAAGCCCTCTTAGTAATTACAGTTTTTAATCTGTGCTTTGAAAACACTGACCAATCACAGTTCCAGATGAGTTTATGTGAGCATGTTAATGTATTAAGGTAATCATGTAATCCATCCAACCGCAGGTTAATTTGGTCACAATAATTCAAGCCAGTCTTTCGATATTTTACATTACTGATTCACAGATGCATTTTTAATGTATTGTAATCCCAATATGTAGTAACGTAATAATAATATGCCCAAAGTGATATGTCCCTTATAAATAGCAAATTCAGCTGCATTAAGGTGCACATATTGCTGACATAATTGAGCAGACTTCTTGTATAATCCCCAATAAAAAAGCACTGTCAATAGAATGGGATGCTCTGGAGCAGCTGCACATGAGCCTAAGCTCACTATGCCCCATGTCAAGTATTGGCTAGAGAGGTATAAAGCCCCCCAGCACTGGACTGTGGAGCAGTGGAACTGCGTACTCTGGAGTGATGAGCATCTTCCTAAACCTTTAGGATGAGCTGGAGAGGCATTTGTGATCAAGAACTAATCATCCAACACCGACCTTACTAATGCTCTTGTGGCTGAATGCAACCAAATCCTCACAGCAATGTTCCAACATCTAGTGTTAAGCCTTCCCAGAAATGGCTATATAGTGTTTTTTTCTAAATTGTGCAGCCTTACATCAAAATGAAACTTGTTGCTACAGTTTTTTTTTATTTTTATTCCATAACTTAATTTATTGGTTGATGTTTGATGCACTGGTTTGCAGTAGAACTGGTCATACTTTCAATGTGAAACTATCATAAGATGCCACCTTCAAGTCAGGTTCAAACTTTTACCCATCTAGAGCTGCCAACTGTAAGTGAGTTGTTGTGAAGTGGGAAGCAGTAGCTCACAAGCTCACAGAACAGGACCGTTTTCTCTGGACCGAAGAATCACGCAATACCACCTGGCAGTCTGACGAAAGAATCTGGGTTTGGTAGATGCCAACAGAATGCTTCCAGCTAAATACATAGAGCCATCTTTAAAGATTGGTGGAGAAGGAACAATGGTCTAGGGGTGTTCTTCATGGTTTGTGCTAGACCCTTTAGTTCCTTTAAAGGCAAAATTCATGCTCAAGCATTCTATGGAACTGTGTGCTGCCAAATTTGTGGTAACAGTTTGAGAAGGGTCTTTCTTATTTTAACATGACAACACCTCCTGCACACAGCAAAATCCACATAAAAATTAGTTTGCTGAGTTGAGACCTTGCTTGGCCTACACAGAGCCCTGACCTTAACCCTGTCCAACACCTTTGGGATTAATTGGAACGCTGAGTGGGAGGCAAGCTTTGTGTTGTTATGTAGTGCACTGACCCTTTGCTGTAGAGCCTTTGAAATTATATTATTCATTATTCATTATTTCATCATTAGTAAGGTGCAGAAAACAGTGAATATGTTAAATGAAACCTAACAATGCAAAAATACTCTTGTACTCTTGTATCAACACTGTAGTTGGTGTCATATGAGGAGTTATGATAAAAAGTCTATTAATACCTGTGGCAAAATTATTTGAGCATGTATTATTGCTTCTTAAATATTTAAGGGTGGTTTACCAATAGAATCATGATATAATTAAAAACTGTCATCATTTTGGACACTTACATAACAACAGAAATTTTCATAATGCCATATTTAGGCAAAAAAAATAATGTAAACCATTTAATATGAAAATAGCCCCAGTCTAAAGAGCATCAGCTTGCCTTGTCGTTAGCTTCATGATCGCGGAGGTGTCTCTGTAACTGGTTTTCTGTGCTATAGATTTGAGAGCAGATGTTGCATCTGTGCTCCACACCACAAAAAGTTTCAGCTTTCAACTCATCACTTCCATCTGTGAAGAGAAGAAAAACAGGACGAGCGTCAATAACAAAGCGTGGTGTAAAAATGCATTAGAATATTTCACAACTACAAATCTACAACATTGATTTCAACATTCCAAAATGGTTTCTAATCAATTAATATAATGATATTCATTAGTATGCAATATTTTCAAATGTAACTGATTATAATCAATTGTTTTTTATATACACATACACTCACACAGTTGATTATAATAATATTAAATAAAGTACACACTTTTTATTTTGGTCAAAATGAAAAAACTGTGATGGCTGACCACATTGTCATGAATGTATTCAATAATGTATTAAAATGTAATACACAAAATACTGATTCGGAATACATTTAGAATACATATTGATAACGCACATGGTAAAAATGGCTGTTGTAATTTTAATTTAATTCACACTGTTCCTTGCTGTTACTGGTTGGCAGTTTTCGTCCAATGATTCTTCTCTTAACGAAAAATTTACTTATTTAAATTAATTTACTAAATTTTCAAAATTACTTTGGCTCTCACTACCTGCTTCAGTTCACTTGTGCTTCCATAATCCCACTGCCATCTGAGAAGCTAAACAAACAATTTATCATATCCCAGTAACAAAATCTTGCAAATTTGACTATAAAGTGGGTAGCTATGTGATTTTCAGTTGACAATGACATGTCACCCATGCACGAGTTCAGTACACTCTAGACCTGCCCACTGCCGAGGAAATTATCAGTTCTATCACCCCTCAAAAGAGTTTAGTAATGCTGAGATTAGTAACTGGCTCTTCACATTGATTTATCAGTCTACTCAGGCTTGAGCAGAAACTTGTCTTTGTAAAGAAGCCTTTTATTGAGTTCTTCTTTAGAGTATGTTTTTACACACCGTGCACTGAGTTTTACATAGTTAATAAACAAGCAGTGATGGTATTTCTTAGGGGTGGGGGAAAAAATCGATTCTTCGATGCATCGCGATCCGGACGTGAACGATTCTGAATCGATTCACAAATGTCAAAAATCGATCTTCCAAATATTTAATTTATAACGTAATGTTGACGGAACGCAAAAGGCGGAACTAGGAAGTGGGTAAGTGCAGCGCCCGGACAGTCTGTAACGTATCTTTGCGACTTACATATGCGATCATATTTCACCGTAACTGCGCATTTTATCACAGATGAGTGGCAGCAGCGTCTCATGTGCTCCAAAGGCAGTGAATGAGAGCCTTCCAGTTCACTTGCCACATCACTTCCATTTGATTTATTAATAAAAGATATTGGAAGTAAATTCATTATGGATCATTACAAATACTTTGCTTTAAAACTACCAAGTCCTCACACACTGAGAAAACAGAAATGACGTATAGAAAAAAAAAAGATGCATCGAGATGCATCGATAATCGTTTTATAATGGCATCGCAGCCCTCGCAATCAAATCGAATCGTGAGGTGCCTAGAGATTCCCACCCTCAGCATTTATTTTTAAGATGACATGTATAATCGAGTGGGTGAAAGTATTCTCCTAAAAACCTAAAAGGTAACTATTTTCTGAATACAGCTTTTACAAAATGTAACTTAGACTGAACACACATACTTCATTTCTTTATTCTGACAAGGTAATCCCAATACTTTTATTGTGTTACATCCCAACCCTGCCAGTATCATGTTTTACCTCCCTCTCCAACCACATCCACCTATCATTGAGCTAAACACCCAGAGACTCTCACTGATACCATATTTTACTTGTAAACAGGTCACAGTAAAGATATATGCTATGATTTCCCATTTATGCTGACTTTCAATTTCCCCTTGACCTAAACCTAACACCCTAACCTCAACCTAAAATCCAAACTTAAACCTAACACTGATAGAAATCAAATGTGTATCACCAGAAAACTGCGCATTTGTACACACAATCTCGACACAATCTAGAGAGAAATCAGGCGTGATTATTTTTCTTGTACAAAATCACCAATTGTGTGCAAACTGGATCTTTAATAAGCTTACTACACACTAGCTGACTCAATTAACTATGGGAAGAAAACCTAGCAACAAACGCACAATAACTCTTCTAATTTTGGTAACACTTATTCATCATTTTTATTTGATTAACTTTATTCCACCAGGGGAAATGTTTCTTGGGCAACCTAGACTGCATGTCATAAAGGAATCACTAGACATGCACCAGACATACAACCTCACACCCTGATTAAAACACTAAGACATTAATAACACCATTAATTTGGATGCTTTAGTCTATATTCCAACAGCAGCTTAGTTTGGCCTCAAGGGTTTTTGCGGTGTATGCAATGTGTTGTTTGTGATGTTAACCACATCAGTGTTGCTCGTGTACAGGACATTATCTACAATCAATCTGTGACATGACCAAGATTGTACTACTTGAATTTCCTCTGAAGGACAGTACAATGACCCGAACGCCAGAAAAACGGTTTGAAATGATGGAAGCATATTTCTGTAGTGAACTACCAAACTATTAACTGATTTAGCTTTTCTAGTCACGAAATTTAGTCAACAACAATGCCTGAGCTGTTGTCAACAAACCATATATGCATTAAGTTGTATTTAGTAAACACTGACCACTGCTGTCTTTGGTGTTTCCTATCGCTAGCTTTAAGCCAGCAAACCATCTAACGCTGGCTATTTTACTGTTCTAAGCGAGAGCCTGAACGCTAACGTTAGCTGTTTTAGCTATGTTGATATCTTATTAAAATAACAGTTAAGAAGCTAGCTAGCTAGTTTAGGCAACTTCGGTTAACTTAGAAGCTGGCCACACTCAAGCAAGAGTGCGCATTCAAACAGTGCGAGGTTAGCTTTAGGGTCGGTTTACATCAGCTTTGGACCTTTCGGTTAGCTTCGCGTAAGCTATCTGTTAGCTATGTGCCCGCACTGTTATCTTTGTATTAGCTATCAGTTAGCTTTGTGTTAGCCCAGCATTAGCTCGCGGCTAAGCGAAGTGGCGACTCTGGAAGAAACGAAAGCTCCACTGAATGAGAACAGAGAGCCGGTGGCGGAATAAAACTCGCCACGAGACTCCATCCGTTCGCTTCTCGAGCTCTCCGCGCCAAACCGAGTGTGAACGAGCGAGCGGAGTTACTGGTATCATTCCGCCTCAGTCAGACCAACACAAAGGCGGCGCATCCGGGGACTATATCCATCAGATTCAGAGGCGCTTTTCTCCGCTGTCCGAGGTTTTCTCGGTCAGCAGCGGGACTTTCTGGAGAGCTAAAACTGTATAGTTTTTTTATCGGTGGTAATGTGTGGTGTCTTACCTGCTTCCCCGGTGCAGTTCCTCCCTTGTTTGCGCGGTCGGCCCCGCGGCATAGTTCCCCCTCAGCGCGTCAGGCTGTGAACGGGCTGCGCTTCAAAATGGCGACCGGAGTTCGTCACCGCCACAGCTGAGACTGTGGAGACAAGTGCAGATCTCAAAACACGATTGTTTTATAAGGCTGAGAAATCGTAGCGTTAACATTAAACATTATAAAGGTGATTTGTGGTCGTGGCTGAAGTGTGTATATATACACTACAGAAGTAGGATTTGTAAAGAGTAATTAGTCATAAACGTTAGTCAGGGTGACAAAATGAAAGTGAAGTTACACTCCAACCTGGTGAAAAAGAAGATTCCGCTATTTTGGTAACCACGCAAGGTCGTATGATTTACTCCGAGACATAAAGTCTGTTGGCCTAAAGGCCAGGGCTTTATGTTTGTAGTCATGACAGCTTTGGTCGTATTACAGCTCCTGAAGATTAAAACTTACTTTTTAACTACTGACTTATTTGTGTAAGATAAAATGTATGTATTTTTAATAAAATGAACCCATTATACTACAGTGTTGATATACCAGACCCAGTGTGCACAAAGACACGAAAGAGCATAGTTCATTAATTTGGTGGTTTAAACCAGCACTTCCCAAACAGCCAACACACCCATGTGGGTATGAGTTGAACAATGGCTAGCTGGGCTCCAGGTGGGCTTGGGCTGCCCAGGAAAACTTGGAGCAGGGAGAAACAAGTACTAGCACTTTCGGGCAGTTTTTGAGGGTGGGCTATTTGAAATGTTTTTGCCACTAGCTTGCCAATGCCGAAGGAAGCTAACGCGTCAGCTATGAAGCCAAATGATGTCTGTATTTATTAGCCTCTGCATTGGGCTTCAACAGGCTGGCTACCCAGACTATACATTAAATAGTGCATTCAGTGGGCTAATACATGAATTGTTACTGGGTCCTAGAGTCAAGACCTATTTTAAGTTAATACCTCAAGAACTATGGTTGAAATGCATTTATATAAAATATTTTGTGCATGGATTCCAGACAAACTCATTGTGTAAATTCATATACATAACTGATCATTGGGGGAAAAAATGAAATTTCCTAGTAAACTAAGAAATTCATTATGAATTTGTATTCAAAACGGAATGCAATTAGGGTTTGTATGACAGAGACATTATAAAGGACCCCATCAGTGTTCTCTCACTACAATAGCTAACCTAGCATACAGTACGATACGTTTGGAATACCCCCACAGCTAAAATCCTGACTATTAACATAGACACTGATGTAGAGGCTAATAAATACAGACATTGGTCTCATAGTCATACTGTTAGCTTGTAGTTGTTCAACAGTTTCTCAAGATGATCATTATAAGGGGTTTTCCTAGTTTTTGAACCGGAAAATCTCACTCCAGAGACTATGGTACCGCTGTAGGAGGCAAATAAGCATGTTTACAACAGTTGTAACAATAATCACATTTTTCATTGTAGCCAGAGTCCCCTTTAGTGTCTCTTACTCCTGCTCCTGGCAATCCACAGCACTGCACAGTTTAAAGTGTTCCTTGATTCAACATAACTGATGCAGCTTATGAACTGATTATGGAGCCCTTCATAAACTGGACCAAATGGTTTGGAAGGGAATAATGCGGTGAGTCACCAACAGTGGGATTACGAAACACTTGGCTTTAAAGTCCGGTAAACCAGAACTAACAGATCACCACCACCAGGGGGCAGCAAAGTCCATATATTGTGGGAAAGTTGAGCTTCAGTGACATAAGCCTTTCCCAGTTATAGTAAAGGAAAAAAAATAGTTACATTTTAACCAGTGCCAAAAGGATTTGTTTGTTCTCTGTTTCATTATGCTTCTAAGATCTCCAAAAGCAACTCAAACTGGCCAACCAGAGCCACATTACTGTTAAAAGTTTGAAATCACTTTCCAAATGAAAATCTTTGATTTTTACAAATACAATTATATCTTAACGATGTGGATTTAAATGTTACAAACTATTTGGCATTTTTTTGTTATCTGCTTTGAGATTTGATCTCCACTTTTGAAAAATAATGAATTTTGGATATTCATTTCATTATAACTTAATTCCTGATGTTCTGCAGCTTTCTCAGTCACTTTAGAATCTTGTACAGCTCCATTCAACATTCTGGACACAAAATTTATTTTTTTTGTTTACAGGCTTCTAGAGTATTAGTTGCACATGACTAGCATATTAGAATAATTTCATACATTTATCTGCAATCTATTTTTTATATTATAAATAGTATTAATTGCAAACATTTAACCTCAAAGTTTCAGTTCCTGAATGAGGTAGTCACACTGTCCATGCTACATTCAGTCCCCCCCCAAGTAACCCACCCAATGTCATGTTTGTCCATTGCGAGGAGCCAAGGATATTTTAAAGACATTTAAAATAAGTCACTTAAAGACATTTTTTCTGCAGCATGAAGAACACAGAAAAATCCCCCCATAAACTGTGTCGCATCCAGTTTATGTTGTTTTGTGTGGAAAAAAATAGTTTCTGAATATTTAGCATTTTCATATCACATTCTTAATAACTTTTTAAAGAAAATCTGTATTGTTTTCATTTGTAGGCTATCAACTTCAAATTACATCTCATAAATTACCAAAAATTATACCAGTTATTCAGTTTAATCACATCAGTGCCTGAAGTCAGCAAAATGATAATAAAACAAAATCAAACCACCCATTAAAAAAAATTGCTTCAGTACAAGAACTAGAAGCGATGGTGGAGGAAATAGCCAACAGGGTAAAAAACTCATTGGTTTAATGCAGGGGTGTCCAATCTTATCCACAGAGGGCCAGTGTGGCTGCAGGTTTTCACTCCAACAAAGCAGGAGGTCACCTGATAAAATATTTGAAGACTAAGACCAGCTGATTAAACAAATAGAATCAGGTGTGCTCCAGCTTGTTTTGAGTGAAAACCTGCAGCCACACTGGCCCTTTGCGGATAAGATTGGACACCCTTGGTTTAATGTAATATTTACATTTTGTGAAATCCATTCAGAGTTCCAGTTTAAGAGGTTTACCATCTCAATTTGTACAGTCTAAGACAAGTGTGAGACTATCGTAAGGTTAAGAAAATTTTGAAGAACATGTTTTTTCAAGAATACCACATTTTTACAATTGTTCTGAAGAGAAAAGCTAAGAAAACATTAAGAAAATTCTCAAGATGTTTTTTTTTTTTTGAAGAAAAATTTATCTATCTATAGTTTTTCTTAAGTCTGTTGTTAAGAAAAAAAGGGATTTAAGGAGATGTTCTTTCTTAAGACACTTTTGAATCCGGTCTCCAAAGCCCAGAGAGCACAACAGAGAATGTTCTTCCTGAAATTCAACCAGCCACAAACCCTGACGATCCAGTTCTACACAGCAATCGTTGACCCCATCCTTTTGGTTTAGATCCTCCACCTTACAAGAAAGAGCCAAACCTCAGCGCCGGATCAAGAAAGTGAAGAGGATCATTGAATGTAGTCCTGGGTGATTTAATGCACCCTTAGTAATTCAGGGCTTTTGATTGGTGTTTTTTATTTTTTTTAAAGAGATTTCTTTGTTTTCCCCCTAATAAAAAGCCTACCTATAGCAGTGCCGGAATTTGCTGGCAGTGACAGGGTGAGCACTTTCATTAAAAACATAGAGTTTGAGTTTAAGAGTGCCATTTAGTGTGTGCTAACGTTAGGCATTGGTTCTGCTCATTGTTGGCCAAGTGACCCGCTTTCCATGCTTACTAAATCTGGTGTGATTTGTCCATATCAGTTGGAAAGGATCTCAGATATGTACTGATTTTAGTGATTTAACCACATCTATTGGGCCACACGACCATCTGCTGCCCCAAGGCCCACAAGCATCTACAAAAACAGGGCCATTAAGTGCACTGGCAAGACTACAGCTGACCCCTCTCACCCTGGACATCACCTCTCTTCCATCCACTTCTTTCTGGAAGAAGATTCAGGGTCATCAAAGCCAGCACATCTAGACATCTCAACAGCTTTTTCCCCAGAGCACTCATTAACTGCGGTGGGCACCTAGCCCTTTCGACATACATGTAAAAATTGTTGTTCATTTTTACACATGTTCATATCATCCTGTATTATTCTTTAAATAATAACTTAATTTACGTATTCTCAGACCCTGCACGTGTACATATTTATCTCTGTTTGCTCCTTTCACATGGGCTCTATTATATCTACTCTCTTTATTTTGTTTATTTTTATTTTGGTTTTTTTTGCATAGGTACTGTCTTGTTTTCTTTTTAATATTGTAATAGTTAATGTACTTGTCTGGTCTGTTCAGTATGTTCCATGTCATACATGTGTGCACCAAGACAAATTCCTCATACATTGCCGTTAAAAAGTATTTGTGCCCTACTTTACATTCCATTTATTGAAGGAAAAAAGTAACCACAACCAAATTTAACCAACTAAATTTAACTACATTTACTTGATAAGTTTGATCAATTAAACAAGACACATCCAGGCTTGATTACTGCCAGCCCCACTGAAACTAAACATCACTTAGTGGTGCTTTAAAAGCTTTCCAACAATGTAAAGTAGGCTGAAAGGTCTCAGCAAGCAGTATGCTATGATCAAAAGAAATCCCAGAGGAGATGAGAAAGAAAGTTCTGGGTCTCCATCCAACCACAGTGAGACCCATTATCTCCAAACCGAGAAAACTTTGAACAGTGGTCAATCTTCACAAAAGTGGCCAGCCTACCAAAATTCCTCCAAGAGTACAGTGACGACTCTTTCATTAAGTCAGAAAAGAAGCCAAACGAACATCTAAGGAACTACAGACCTTTTTCACTTCAGATAAGGTCATCATTCATGATTCCACCTACAGAAAGAGACTAGGCAGATCCAGGGGAGAGTTGCAACACAAAAATCACTGCTAACAAAGAGGAACAAACACTAGTCTCACATGTGCAAAAAACACCTTAATCACGCCTGGACCTTCTGAAATAATGTTCTATGGACCGAGTGGAACATTTTAGAAGACAAGGGTGCCATTACATCTGGCGTAAAGCTCCACAATAAAAACATCATACCAACAGTCAAACATGGTGGTGGTAGTGTGATGG